TCTCTTTGCAGTGGGAATCTGCCCTTGTGTCTTGCATAATTGGCTGCTGCAGGGCTGAAAGACACGGGCAGTGTGGGGTGAGGAATTGCAGCTAAGAACGGGGTTGGTGTGCTATGAAGGGGGTTCTAGTGTTATTTCAAACCCTTAATATTTTTTTTTTTCCTCTTCTCTACAGGGAGACTTTGTTGTAAGTAATGACACCCTTAACTGTGGGGGCTGGAAGATTATAACGGCTGTGCTTCTTGCCTCACGGGCACTGACAGCTCTTTCCCCTCACACTGGCATCCATGCAGCTCTCTGTCCAAATAAGTAAACTGGCCACACTGGTGGTGAGGTGGCAGGATCTCTTTGCAGGTGTGTTCTGCTGGGGCTGGGAACTGCTAAGAAACCTTTTGGCCTCTAAGCAAGACTACTTGTACTGTGCCCCTTCTCCCCCATTCTCCCAGCTGCTGGTGTTGGTAACGCTGTCCCAGGCAAGGACCATTTGCTACAAGTGGTCACCTACAGCAGGAGTGTGCTGTTCTTTGCCTAAACATATTCTCTACGGCTGAAGGACTGATGTTTCCCTCCTGTACCCATGACTCTTCTGCTTTTAGTAGTTGAATAAGCACTGTTGCCAAACCTGCGTTGTTTCTTCCCTTCTATTTGCTTCCCATCCCGGTGTGTGGGTGAATATGACTCTGACAGTGACTTCTTTGTTTAGCAGGCTGCCTAGCCTCTAGCTGCCTGTGCACGAGCAGCCAGAGGGTAGAAACAGGCCCCGGCAATCGGTACAGTCTGAACTCATCTCCCTTCAGGAGAAGGAGCGGCAGAGACTGGAAAGCCTCAGGAAGAAGCAGGAGGCTGAGGAACAGAGGAAAAAGAAAGTGGAGGAGGAAAAGAGACGGCGGCAGGCAGAAATGAAGCAGTGAGTTGGGTCCCTTACCTCCTGCTCCTTTCCTGGTTCAGCACAGTATTGCCTTGGAGGCCTTCCCTGGCAGGCAGACAGCACTGCTGTACCGTGCTTTGTGCCTCCTGCTTGGAAGGAGCATTTTGTAAGTAAGTGATACTGCCTGGGCATCCTGAGCCCTGCTCTTCATGGCTCACTGCAGTAAGAACTGCGTTGGTGCCATGCACCTGCTAGTGTCTGAACTTAAAAGTGAGCTGAGGCTAAGCTCAGCCAAAGCCAGTCAAGCAAAGTAATTGTTTTCCCCAATTACCATGGCAAGTCCCTGTTCCCCCATCCCCCTCTGTACTAGAGCAGACAAAGCTTACAAGCCCCTC